TCTGGACAAGGTGGGCTGCAGGCAGACAGAAGGGGCATTCAGTGGCATCAGGGACAGACAGCAAATAGTGCGAAGCACAACCCAACGAGAAGACAGGCTCACCTTCCGCCCTTCTGAGTGAGACTTGCATTTGAATCAGGCACACAATCTCTCATCCCAAACAAACACGACTCGACTTTCAAACCCTATGCTAGGCTTTGGGGGTAGGGGTGGGAACAGATTGATTGGCAGTACAATGTCTCCTTGGCATTGCTTACTTTACAATGAACAGGTAGGCTTTGCACTCTCGCCAGCTCTCTCTTTATGCAAATAGGACTTTGACTAGTAGAAACAGACTGAGAACACCTGTGCTGCATCTTAGGGGAGTTTTATTGGGGGTGTGGTGAGGGCTGAATTGAGGCAGAAAGGTCATGCAATAAGGCCAAATTCTTTGAAAGAGATTGGGATGAAAGAGTTTCTCTTTGGTGACCTTTGATGTGAATGTTTTTTTTAAAAAAATCTAAACAATGGAGATAATAATACCTGTGTAGTAGCCCCCAGGACTCTTTCCCATGTGAGCCCTGAAGATTCTAGGTACTTTGTGTGCCAGCATAAACTTGAAACCTTGGCTCAATCAGTCAGCTGCTCAGTAAATAAACATTTATTAAGCACCTGTACTATACTCCAGGCCCTGTGCTAAGCTCTGGAGCCTCCACTGATGTATGTGCTTTCACAAAGTTAGAGGACCCATTAATGCAGTTGGAAAACATTTAATTAAAAAGCATAGCAAAATAAATGACAAGAAATGTTCTTTCTATACACACAGGGAGCACTCAATCACACAACCAGTGGGGAAATCACACATATATATGAATCAATGTAAAAGCATTGGACGTAAAAGTAGAAAAAACTAGACCATTTCTGTTCTCCAGGGACTCACATGGGGGGAGGAGGATACAACACATTTAGGAGGGCAAGGATCACATGTGAGCAGGAACATCCATTGAGGGCCGATCATACATAAAGAATTTGTGTGACAGTGGTTTGTGAAAAATAGCACATATAACAAGAACACGTGTCCAGGGAACACTACCAAGCGTACATTTGTAGACAACAAGTTTAAGTGGAAAACACATATGGAAATTATACATGCAAGGGGCATATATGAGGAGGGAACAAGTGTGATGAACAAGAGTGAACACATGCCCGGAACACATGTTGCAAGGTCATACTCATGAATGGCACACACATAGGGACATGTGTGTTCAGAATGGTTGGATGGCTAGAGCAAACTATACCTTCAGCGCTGCAGAATTATTGAAGGCCCTTGGTGTTGTCATTGGACTCTATCCACTGGGTGCTGGGCAATTTCTTCTGGGCATAGCATCATCTTTGTGTAACTCAATTCTCTACTGGGTATCCTGTTTCTGCTGTAGCCTCATTTTTCAGCTGTCCAGTGGGTCTCCATTCTCAGGTTGGACATTTCCACTGAGATCATGTTTGTGCAACTGCCATTTGCTACCATCTGCTTTTTCCCCCATGAGATTCCCCATTACATTGAAAGCTCTTTGAGAGCAAGGACAGTCTTTTGCCTCTTTTTGTATCTCCAGCATTTAGTACAATGCCTGGCACATAGTTGGGCCTTAATAAATGTTTATTGATTGATTAATTCTGTTATCAACATCTTCAGGTCTATCTGTATTTTCTGCCACCATCTACTGGTATGTCATGGCTAGTAAGTCTCTCCCTAGTAAGGGAAAAAATAGCCGAAGAATTTGAGTCATCACACTGAAGTTGTTCAATAAAAACCAGCAGAAATGCTAGGTTAGGATTCAATTTGGTCTTTTGACCACATTTCTCATGGGATCCACTAGAAATCCTTGTTCCTAGCCAGCTATTTGATTTGGGATTAGAAAGTTTTTATTTAACTCCTGTGCAATTCTCCATGATCAGTCTATGTCTCCAAACTGAGTTTGGAGAATCCACTCACAACCTCCAATGGAGCTAAGTGAAGACTAAGGCAGCAGAGTTCTGCTCAGCTTTTATAATGTTTCCTTATGGGAATGAAATAAACTTAAGGTCAAGAACAGAAAGGCTAGGTGAGGCTGGCTTTACTCTTCTCTTTAGTGTAAATATCTGTCAGCATCAAAAGAACTGAATTTTGTGCTAGTTCTGGCAGGCTCCAACCTCACTGCCCTCTCTACACCTATAACACTTCCCTCCAAGTTATTGGAGATATGTTTGGTAAACTGTTAAATTTATTAAGTTTATTGTGAAATGTCAGTTACAACGATTATTTTTTAAATTATTCTGATATTTTAGGCGATGAAGATTCTGTCTTTGGCATTTCCCAATTTTCATTTGACTGGGAGGAAGGGACATATCTCATTAGTTAAGTGATTATATATAATAATGTGGATGAAGTTTCAAGATTCCTTGGAAGATATAAGAATGGAGATAACCTGAGCTGACCCTCTCTTCTGATCATTAATATCCAGGGAAGCATCCAAGAGGAGGATGTGAGCTAGCCTAGTGTGCTGCACACTGTTGGGAAGGAGATCCAACCTAGAAGCCACACTGAAGAGGGACTCCATCTTGATGGTGAGGTCTTCCAGACACACTTGCTTCTGAATGGCTTTATACTGATTCAAGAGAGACCTAAATGAGAGACACAATCATTCCAGAGTTTGGCCTTCTTATTCATACAGACTAGGTCAAATGGATGAAGAATTGGCCCATTGTCCAGATAAGGACATGAAGTTGAATGGACAACCAATAGATCTCTTCCTCCATTGCTTGTATCTCGGACAGATGTTGACCACAGGTATTCCATTAGGCCCAGAATTGACTGGGAGGACAAGAATGGGCTGAATTGCCTTTGGCATACAGCAAAATTCTTTGAACAATCTCGGGCTTTTTTCTGAAATAAAGGCCTCTCCTTTCAATGCTAATATTCTTTTGCATTGTTGCGTACTTGGAGTCATGGTTCATAGTAGTCTCTGAAGAATTTAAATTGAGCACCAGCTAAAAGGGAATAGAGAAGCCCAGCTTGGATATGAGCAGACAATGAAACACAAAGAAATATCAAGATGAGTAGTATATAGGATGTCATGAAAGAAATCCAGTTGTTCTTCATGGTTGGGTAATTTTGGTCAGTTTCCTTATTTGTAAAATGAAGGTGTTAGACCAGATGTTTCAGAGGTCCTGTCCAACTCTCCATCTATGATACAATTGAGAAAAAAAGGATTGTCATGTGACCAGAAAGAGGTTTAGTTGTAGTCAGGAAGACTCGAGTTTGAATCTGTTGTCAGACATTTAATAGCTATGTGAGCCTGGGCAAGTCTCTTAACCTCTATATGTTCTCATCTATAAACGTGAATCATAATAGCACCTACCTCCCAGTCATGTTGTGAAGATCAAATGAGATATTAGTAAAGTGCTTTGTAAATGTGAAGGCTTTATAGAAATGCAATTTTTGTTATTCTAACTGATGGATAGTCTGCATTCTCAGTTGATACTTTTGAAATGTGAAGAGAAAGCCAGGAAGGCCCTCAACAGCTTGGGTGGATTATAGTGGTGAAAGCAGGAAAGGGCATGGGTAAGAGGCACATGGGTTGGGCTGGCATGACTGGGTTATGATTAGCATTATTGGAATGAATGAATAAATATACGAATGTGTAATTGAATGAATGAAAAAGGATTAATTAAGGAATTACTGTGTACTGGATATTTGGGAATGAACTTCAGGTAGCACACCCTGCTGGACAAGTATGCCAAAAGGCTTGGCTGGAAATAGTCAATTTCTCCTTAAGGGTTCATCAAGGAGTGGATGAGAATCATGATGGGCCAAAATAGGGCTGGAGGGATTTCACAGGCTTTTTCACACCTGGGTCACTGTGGGTAGGTCAATTAGTATCTTTTGGGCTCAGTTTTCTATTCTGTAAAATGAAGAGTTTGGATATGAAGACAGTTAGGTACAGTGGAGAGAGTGCATAGAATCAGAGATCCTGAGTTCAGATGCTGGTTTATTACAGCTGTGACCATAGGTGAGCCACCTTGTGTCTCTGGGCCCCAATTTCCTCCTTTGTAAAATGAGGCTGGAATAAATGAACTCTGAGGTGACTTTCCACTGTAAATTCTGAAACTATATGATCCTCTTCCTTCATTTGCTCACTCATTTAATCATTCATTTGATATTTATTTTATTAGTGTTTATTTTGGGCAGAGTACAAAGTATGTGATGGTAACTGGGAAATATACAAAGCCTAGGTAAAAGAGGACTGCTGTCCTTGTGGAGCTCACAATCTAGGGAGAGGACTAAGACACAAACAGATATCTACTGAAAAAATTTCCTGAATTTATGAAATGGTCTATAGGGAAGTGCAAGTGAGTGAACTCCCCCTATCAGCACAGATGGGTGCCTGCTCTGTAACTTGTGGTTTTGGAGAATGCCTAGGGCACTGAGATTAAGGAACTCCTGGAGAGTCCTGCACTGAATATGAATCAAATGTGGGTGTTGAAACCAAGACCAACTGTTTATCCAATAGTCTAGTTATGATTGGTGCCAGAGGCCAAGACTTTGCAGCATCTAGAAAAACGGGGAAGAAGGCCTGAGGAGCAGAAAAGGGGTGGGGATGGAATAGGAGAAGATGGGAACTTCAGGATTTGACTGGTTGTTGACCTGTGTGTGTCCCAAATCCACTTGCTCCACCACCTTACCTCTCCCTCCACTCCCCAGAGGAGGGCTAAATGCCCCCGTGGGCAATCTCTCTCTTCTCTCCCTCTCTTTTTTTTTACACTTCCTGTTATGGGTGTATAAGTAGGGTGCTGACCAAGGGGGAAGCACAGAGCTGGGGAAGCAGATCAAAGTAAGGATCCTGCTCTGTTCTCACACCTTGGTTACCCAGCCGAGGCTCAGTTGGATGGAGATGTTGGGCTGGAGGACTTTGCTCCACCCCAGACTCCAGCAACCAGAGCCCTTCTCTGTTGACCTGAGCCCTCTCCCTTTTCTCTCCCTCCAGATGATTTTCCTGCTCCTTCTGACCCTTCCCCTCCTGGGAAACTCAGTCCCTGTGATTCGAGGTAAGTTATAGTCCCATCCCAGCATTGCCTACACCCTGGAATTCCTGTTTCCAGTGCTCAGTCCTTTGGTGGCCTCATGGGGAGTGTCTCCTGGGATCCAGGAGAGAATGGTTCAGCTCTTTCCTAGGGACAGGGTAGTTTACTTAGAGCAGAGCTAGTTTCTAGGTGAATGGATCTCTGACTTCTCCCAGAGTGAAGGTGAGCTCATTCTAAGTCGGAACAGTTTCATTCTTTGCCCTTGCATTCTGGGCACATGGCACAATCCATTGGCACACAGTGGGTGCTCAATAGAGACTTCTTGAAGGATTGGCAGAAAGTTGTAGTGGAGAGTGCTAGACTTTGGGTAAGGAAAGACTTAACTTCAATCTTATTTCTGTTTCTAATATTTAGCCACTTGGGGACTCAGTTTCCTCTTCTGTAGAATGATAATACCTGTAATATCTATCCCCATAGAGTTGTTATAAGGATCAGATGGGATCATCAATGGACAGAGCTCATGGGAAGGTCAATTTAAACAATTAATATACTGTAGAAATGTCAGCTACTGTTCCCTTGTTTACCGGGAGACGGGTTATGGTACATCAGCTGTCAACCAGCTCTTGGCAGAGAATCTCAAGGCCAGGAGTGATCACTGGCAATGTATGAGATTCTGGCATGAAAGCTAGATGCCAGGATTCACAACACTGATGGATCTTCTTGCACAATAACCCATTTCACCACCCAGAGAAGCAGGAGCCTAGGATTGTTGGGGGCGTTGATGCTCAGGAGGGAGAATGTCCATGGCAGATCAGTCTGAGGACAAATGTTGGTGATTCCTGGATACATTACTGTGGGGGCTCTCTCATTGACCCCAGTTGGATCCTGACTGCTGCCCACTGCTTTACTCAGTGAGTCACCTTCCTCCCTCTCAGAGTTGTAGGGGTGCATGAAGAGGGGGTGGGACACAGAGAGCCTCAGGTTTCAGAGAAAGGGAGCTGGATTGTAGTTCAGACTGTGCCATATACTAACTCACTGAATGACCTTGGACAAGTCTCTTCCCCTCTCTCAGATTTCCAAAATGGAGATACCAATCCCTATCCTGACTTCCTCAGTTGGCTATTGGATGAAAAATCCCTTTTTCATGTGCAAAGTGCCTAACAGATGTATGGTACCGTTACTATGAAAAGATGAGAAATCTAGGGGAAAGAGAAGGAGAGTTAGCAGAAGGAGAGCTAGGGCATTTCCCTGTGTTATGGTGGTTGGTGTCTATGAGAGTTCCAGGAAGGTCCAAATGCCCAGTTCCGTGGTTGAGAGCTAGAGGGCACAGATGGGTACAACTGGTCTCAGGATACTTGGACTGGACCATGTAGCCCCTCTAAGGAATATTATTCTCCCTCTTTTTTCCAGATATGGAAAGGAAACTTCACAATATATGATCCAATTGAGGCAACAGAATCTATATGAAGATGACAACCTGGTGCCCCTGGAAGAGATCATCATTCACCCTAAGTACACTGATTTCAGGTCAGGCTCTGACCTAGCCCTGCTAAAACTCCAGTCCCCTGTCCAGCTGAATGCGAATGTCCAAACCATCATGCTCCCTGAAGCCTCGCAGATCTTCACTCCAGACATGGAATGCTGGGTCTCTGGTTGGGGGGACATTGGATTTGGAGGTGAGCTCTGAGAAGCTGGGAGTGGGTTGGAGGTGTAGGGCTCTGCAATGTCCCAGGATTTGTACAGGGCCAGCATCAAGGCCAAGACTAGGCATTGCAAGGACTGTGGTGAAGACAGCAG